TGGTGATGGGAAGCCCACGGGGATTACAACTGAGATGGAAAAAGGCACAAAATGATGTAAAAATAATTACAATAAAAAGAAAATAGACAAACACCAAAAAATAAAATCAGTTTTTCCAATCATCCAGGCTGCAATTAAGTACTTAATAGCCTCATGTGGGAGGCATCATATTGGAGAATAGATATATAGAGTTTCATGGTGTTGCATGTGCTATGGTGACAGCACCTGAAGGGAGGCTCCCGTGATTCTAGAATATAAACCATGATGTAAACAAGCATTGTCTCAGTAAAGAAAACAGACCTTTAACAACATCATAGAACGTTCTTTCAGACAGTGCTAGAATAGATGTTCAACTTAGTGAACTATTTTAACATTTTTTTTCTCACTCAGTTCTAAAATTCTCAGGTCACTGTGCTCATATTGAAGTATCTTACAGTCACTCAGGAAATCTTATATTGAGAGTCAGCAGCTGTGACAGTCAATTCTTGGGCCTGAGCCACTACTTGAATGTTCATTTGGGGTGTTGCACAATGACATACCCTAAAGTATAATCTACATTCCTTGACGGCTTAGTATTGGCATCGATCCAGCTGTCAATGAGTGCTTGTTGAAGACATGCTAGGAAGGAGGCATGCAGAGAAGGGAAAGCATTAGGAAAAGATTAAGGGGCAGTTTACCAGTAATGTAGATGGAAGTGAACGTATTTAATCAGATATATTTAAACAGAGCTATCTGTTTAATCATGTAATCAAAAAAGGGGGGATTCAGAATGCAATCAAAGAACTTATTTTTTTTCTAGTTCAGTATGTCCTTAATAGATAGCTACTATATTAAAATCCCACGATCTTTCTTAAAGATGAAGAGGTTTCTTTTCCAGGTCCCTTATTTTTAACTTTTCTTTTTTTTGCACATATACTAAAAAATAAAGTATCAGTGAATTAAAACAGTTTTCTCACAACCATTTTTTTTTTTTTGGCTAATAATAGAAATTTATTTCTCATATTTCTGGAGATTCTCTCACCACATTTAACACCATAGAAATGTATTTCTAATAGAGAAGTTATTTCAAATAACCAGCTTAGATTGTCACATGGAGAAAACACTTTTCTAAGGAATAAGGGAAAGTTGAAAGCTCTTAATTCTAAATATTTTAGTAGCACCTTCACTTAGTCTTTGTAATGAAATGACATATTTTTCAAATGAATTTCAGAGTAGTATGTATATATTCATGTTATCTTATTTTCCTTTTTTTCCCCACCCCAACCCCAAAGGTGCCACCTGACTGGGAGAGAGCATCCTTCCAACAAGCCAGTCAGGCCAGCCCTGACTTAAAGCCAAGTCCACAAAATGGTACCACGTTCCCTTCCTCTGGAGGATATGGCCAGGGGTCACTGATAGCTGATGAGGAGTCCCAAGAATTTGATGACTTGATATTTGCATTAAAAACTGGTATGTATGAACCCCCAAACTACATCAGAAGTAGGCATTGTTGCCATGCTACAGTTTATGTATTCTTCCCACAAAGTTGCAGAAATACTATCAGCCTCAGCTCATCCTGATTCTCATGACCCATTCCTAATCCCAAGCAAACTCTAAGGTATTTTGTTTGGGGCACAGATAAAGCACAGCTTAAAAACAATTTAAAAATTGCTTTTAAGAAACTGTCATATTCTTAACTAAATGTAGCTTCTCCTAGAATCTTGCTAGAATACCAAGGTTATATTGAAACAAGTTCAATGTAGGACATTTTAGTAGGAATCTTAGAGAGGGAGCTTTGCCTCTAACTTTCTAACAAGACCTCCTTCTTGTGGAATATTTTTGAATCTTTCAAAGTCAAATTAATGGACTCATAATTTTATCCCATCATATATCATTACATATATCATTTATTGTATACTATTAATGTACATTAATAATCATTAAAAATCATTTCATCGATTCTTCCTATATATTCATTCCCACTTAATTTGTAATGTCAATGAATAGTTGTTTTCAAAGGAAATACCAAGTTTTATTTTTCCTCCAAAAAATGTTAATCTGTTAGTGTTAGAAGGATTTCAATGACCTTTTCATCTATACATGTACAAACAAAAAAGTAAGATAGGTCTATGCCCACATGAGTCTACTAACAGAATAATTCAAAAATGTATTTAACTGCATGTGTGGATTCCTTGGCACTAGGATTGTAAAAGAATGAATGGAAGAATTAAAAAAGAAACTTAAAGTTTGATAGAAAAATAGAAAATTCATATGAACATGACAGTAAAATAAGTAGAAAGTGTTATTAATTATTAAAGAGATTCAGAAAAGTTTTTCAGATCTGCTCAACTGATTCTTAAAGAATATGTAAGTTTTTAAGCAGGTAATGTGTAGGAAATGTTTCAACTAAGGGAAAATATTTAACCAAAGCCCAGCAGCTCCCCGGGGCATGGTCTTTGGGGAGAACAAGCCCTGCAGGGCAAACTGAGACAGAAGGGGCATGTAGCCCCCCCCAAATTAAATAATTAAATGGTCATTAACTAACTCAATAACTAAAATTTTAACCATTGTTAATAAACCCATTATGACTACAATGGGTTTAATGACAATTATATAGTTAATAATGTATGATTGTTATAATAATCATTATCACTGTAAATTATTTATTATTGTTGGCCAACTGGCTGTCAGCATACACCCTCCCTGAGATAGCCATCGTCATCCTCAGTGGGAGGAATCTCAGGAAACTGCAAAAACTTTCTATTTATATTAGCACTTTAGCTAGTGTAAAGAAACCCACTTCATTTAATTTGATTTAGTTTCATTTGGGGGGGTGTAGAACACTTGCTGACATTTTACATATTAAAATATTGTTCAGATGCCACATTAAGGAGTGGGATTTTTCACAGAATCTGGTGAGCGATGGGGAATGTTGAGAGAACTGCCTTGTTCCCTCTGGTTTTAAGGTAAAATTAGTCTTATGAAAGATGAAGAGTAAATTTAGCAGGTTGTAAGGTTATGACCGTGGTCTATGGAAATGGTCAAAGGTCTCAATTCTGGGCATTGGAAGTAAAATGAGAGTAGGACATCTGAGGAGAGAGCTGGTGCTTCTCACCTAAGGTGGTTTAGGCATCAGGTCATAGAGCATTTGTTTACTTGTTTGCATGGGAAAACTGATGAGTTCCCATTTGGATATATTGATCATTAGTGCTTAAATATTCGGGTTGAAATCTTAGACTAGCAATCAGGGGGAGGTATTGTTTTGAAATCTGTCATTGCAGAGATTATACCAGAAACTGTTGGGGATAAATATGTTTGGTCTAGGACAGTGAAGGAGAATGATGAGAAGTAAAGGAAAGAAGTAAGTTAGGGAGAGCAGAGGAAGGGAGGAAAAATACAGGAAGGCAAGAGAACAAGGACAGCTGACATAATACCTACATGTAAAGAGATTCCACAGAGGAAACTATAACATGATCAGAAAGAGAACTAAAGAGGGTAGAGAGTGTCACGAAAGAAGAAATGAACCACATAAAATGCTCACTTGCAGTAGGACAGAAAGGGAACTTTGAGATTAGAGGTAATTCTCAGGCAGATTTTGTCCCCGGTACTGCCAATTAGTCAGTTGTTGATATTACAACACTGGAGACTTAAAGCAAATTCTTGCAGCTTAATTAAATTAGATGTGAGTCCTATATATACCTAGCAAGTATTAAGTGCATGTAGCTCAAGAATGTATGGAATGACTCGCTTAAGACTGAGTTTAACATTCTTTAGCGTTCACTAAGCTGCTTAGGAAATAAGTAAGTTAAAAGGCCAAAATAACAGTTTCTAACATTAGTTCCCTATATTAAAAGATACTATAATAATCAAGCACCATCCCCTAGACACTTCCAGTAATAGGATATGGTCAAATGAAGGAAACAGTCCACATACCATCTCGTCTATAACAGAATTATACAGGCTGTTTTCATCCCAACAAGATATTCCATTTGACTTTCATCATATTTTATCATTAACATTAAAAAAAGTTGAGTTATTCCATAAAAAGCCTGAGTTTCTGGAAAGAAAGCTGAAGGGATGCTTAAAATCTAGCTTGATTTTTAAGTGACTTCCGATCTTTATTTGAGCTGTGTAATAACTGCAGTTTAGACAGAGCATAAATTCTTTTCTTTGTTCGCTGTGCATCAGACTGGTATCTCTGGTATAGTCAGCCTTCCTGGCTTGTGGCCTTTGAGTTTACAAACCTTGATCTAGCTCATGTCCACCTTAACTGTGGATCACTCCAAATCAAATATTGGGAAGAGTGAGTCTTCCAAGTCTTTCCATTGAGATCCAAACTACTTGGAAAAGTGATAAACCTTTA